TTGAACAAGGAGTACTGGACTATGAATCAAGCTGATGAAATGTTTCATTATCTTGATATGAATGTAGATAGACGGGGTCCATCAGACCGATGGGAATTTGTATGGCTAATCAACATTCGCTTGTTATACATTACATGCTAAATTGTTGCATATCTCTCGAAAAGAATGGGGAAAGAATTTATTACAAATGTCCGCTCTTGTCTATTTCGGTAATGAACACAAAGGTAATACAAATAAAAAACGCGATTTAGTATGTGCAGCTAATAAATATATGGGATGTAAATCACCATGCCACATCCTTCTATTACTGATATGGCACCTTTATAACAGACTTTTCAGGGGGGATTTATCAAATTTGTTAATATGCAATGTTTTAATTCCCGATTGTTGACTGGTGTTTTGCCCAATCGAGAAATTCAAATTCAGGCACGCATTTGATTCGATCATCCCTCAAAAGATTATTATTTAATGGCCCCCATTATTATTTGTCTAATATTCCCGAATTCTCCATTTCACCGAGCTCATGATTTTCAAGATCACATGACATTCTTCACAATGTGCATCACCCACTTTGGCCTTGAGGTGCATAATAATGGGACTATCAATTCCTTATTTATAAAAAAAGGTTTGATTAATAAATGTAATCGCGGTTTCAGCTGGAATTTACCAAGCGATAATAATAATTCGCGCAAGTTTGGCTATACTGTACCAGTGTTACGATCGTAATAGTCAGCTTTACCTCTCCCTTAAATAACCAGTTTATACTTCTAGATCTTCTTGTATACGAGTCGCCAAATTTACTGAACCCATTCACTATACATTTTCCTAGAGAACGGTATGGTCGGTTTATTCCCAAAAGTAAATCTATTCATTTAATGGTCAATGATAGGATATATGATATTGGTTACTATATCGGGCTGCGCAATCCCTCGGCGGTCATTTGTCGGTCCGTGTAACGGGGCCGAAAATCTTTGTGTGACTGTGCGATAATGGCGCAAATTATAGCCGAGGAAAACGTTCACTACGAGTATTAGTCTAAAATTGCGGTTTTTTTTTCTTTCCAAAAATAATTCGAGAGAAAAGTTGCCGAATTATGTGCGTACCAGCTGAGTCTTAAAAAGAAGCATGCACTAGAAAGGAAACTTTCCACTGCTGGAATCACAATTGCCTCTTTGTCCGAAGACATATCTTAATATGTTAGAAATTAATTGCACTTACATTAGAACGAATGGCATGTGTTGCAATAAAAAACGAATACCACGATGGAAACGAAAATGACAATTGGCAAAAACGTTACTACAATTCTAATAATTTTTTGGAAAAAAATTGTATGCGCTTTCTAGAGATTATGCGGTTGCTTAATCAGTCGATCGCAAATTCTATTGCAAGCCTTGGAGATAATAGCACGTTTAAATTGACGCTTTTTGCACTATTAATCCTTACAATCGAATTAGGAGTCCAAGAATGGATTATGCGAAGATTTTACACGGAAGAATGTTGCCAAGAATATCTGATTTAGACTAGGTTTGAGGAAAAAATATAGTAAAGAAAATTGCAGATAAGTATTTTATGATGAGAGATAGAATTTATTATTGTAATCTTGACGATACTGTTACAATATTCGCTTTTCACGTTTCATCAACATGTAAGTACCGGCGTAAAGTGCATTCATTTGGCATTCAATACGAACGAACAGGTTAATAATGTTCTTGAGAGGCAAAGGCCATATTGTACGCTTCAGCATGGCATTTGATGGAATTAAGAGTTTGGATAAAGACAAGTTTTTTTTATAATACAACCATTTTGACTTTACTTGTGTTTGGCAATTGCAATTATTACAAAATATTGCAATGGTTATCAAAAAACAACTGTAGATTTGCAATATATTGTTGAACTAGTAACAATAAAACAATTAAGTAAAACTAGGATTAAATGCTATGAAATGGAAATGTTCAACACTTAATCTTAATTTTGTTCGACTCTTTTTTTAAAAAAATTGACTGATTTCAAGATATCAGCGCCAGAACTGCAATTAATTATTATCAAAGCCGTCTTTTTTTCTTTCTTATTCCGCGTCTCATAAATATCGGTCAACTTGGAGGGTCCGAAAACCATTTATTGTATATCAGTATAAATTTACTTCATTTGTATCCCACTCAGATATATCCCTATTCCCAAAATTCTAGATACATTGTTATATTGGGATTGGTAGGAATCGGTTACTAGAACTCTTTGCAACTTTTATGTAAAGTATCGATGGTCTTTAAAAAGATAATTACCGTACACTCCCGTGAATAAGGTCCTCCATGAATAAGGCTAAGAAGTAACAGCCCCACCTACTTGATTATCAACAAATCACCATCATATACATGGTGAACCGAAATGGGTCGGGAACTTAGGTGGGAAATGCTAAGAAATTCGGTTTAACGGGTCAATTAGTAAATTCGGTTTATCGGGGTAAATTTAATATAGAGGTTTTAGAACTTACCTTCGGTTTAGAGGAGTTTTACTTAGTCCTTCGGTTAAACGGGGTTGACTGTGTATATTACTTTAGTATCGCCGCAGTTCGTAATGATGTAATAACATGATAACGCGAACAATTGTTACGTGGCGATTTGCAGACCATTTTTTCATTGTTTTAGGGCATCTCATGAAAATGAGCCCCCTCATATGATAAAGGTAGGCCCTTATTCATGGTAGTTATAAAACGGCAGTCGGTAACAGAAATTAAACCTTATAAGCTCGTATGTGCAGTACTAGTACACGATATTCGATTGGTCTGACATTAGTATATGACATCGATACTAAGATCGCCAACTATAATGCTATATCTAATAGTCAATAATGTGAGCTACGCGAAGCAATGGTGTAAAACATAATTAAGACTTTTTTCATTTCACATGAAAAAGCCTTCGTATTCTGAGATAATTTTCAGCCCACTACTATTTATCACTTGCTATTAGAATAAGATAAGAATCCTATTAAGGGGCCTGATGTACTGTAACCAAGTTATCGTCAGCAAGAAAGTTAGTAGATGTGAGCTAGAAACCCTGATGACAGGTGTATAAACCGTCATTACGGTACAATAGTCACATGCATCAATGTAATTTCTACCCTTAATATTATATTAAACTCAGGCCCAATCATTTTCACGTTGAACCGGTTTATTCTTGTTTGTTTCTTTCCACACATTACATTAAATTTTTCCTTTTTTGTACCAATTAACTTTGTGGCATCGTCGTTATTATTATAGGAATATGGTAGCACTAAGAAAAATAGTGTAAATTGTAAAATTTGACCATTCCTATTTCATCAGTTCATGTAGCCAAACTTTAGGCCAACGATTATAGTCGTAATCGTATTCCACACTTTGCATGTTGTGAATTAGAGTATGTGCCTTACCAGAGCCTTCGTATAAGAAATGTGTCAAACTTCTAAAAAAAGGTGGTTAGATCTCCGTTCAAGACATAATCACATGATATTCCATGGAAATTAAGATTAAATACTAATCAAAATCAAAGCATAGAATTCACCTTACTCCATAGATAGATAGTCTTTTTAATTCCAGTCCAACCGTTTAGTACTATTCAATTGAAGTCTTGGATGCGACAAGGCAGTGTAATATGCTTAACTTTCTTCGAGATAGAAACATGCAGACTGTGAAACAGGTGTGTAAGGTACGTTTTTTGCCTGTTCTTTCATCTATCTCCATTAGCTGACTATCGAGTTTATTCTGTGTACTGCTAATAAAAGCTTGTGATAATACTGCTCAGTTTCCTTGCAATCTTCGCATCAGCGCTGATAGCATGGAAAAGCTTGGGGGTGTATATGAAGACTCCAAGTCCTATTATAGTTGTGTTTAGGTGCGATGTCATCGTCTTTATTGTTGCGTTGGTGAAGCTATAAATATATTAATGCTGAATCTCAAAAAATCTATAGTGAAAGTATGGAACCAGCTTTTCATAGAGGTGGAAGAAAATATAGTACTCGATTTTGATTACTCGCATTCTATGCGCAATATTCATGTTCAATTCTGCTCCTAACTCAGGCGATTTGTTGTTAATTAGCACACCCGATGAGCCAATCCAAGTGGGGGACGTAATAGCGTATCGAGTTAAAGAAAGTCCTGTGCCAATTGTCCATAGAGTGATAAAGATACATGAAAGGCATGTCTGCTTTTGATGCATTGAAATATAGGCATGTACTAACCAGTTATTTTCATTACAGCAAGGAACTTGATACAATGTATATTTTGACCAAGGGCGATAACATCGACTTCAATGACAGAAGCCTTTATTACACGGACCAGCTGTGGATTAAACGTGAGGACATTATTGGAACAGTTAGGGGGTAAGTAGGTAATATGCTCTACTGTTTGTTGATAATTCCATTTGCGCTAATTAGATCTATAGGTTTATACCATATATTGGTTACATTGCGATTGCAATTAACGAATATCCAGGACTTAGGTGGTTATTGATGCTCGCAATGAGTTTTTGTACTGTCGTATATGCGGAATAGCTGTAATAGACTATTTTCATTATAACGGAAGTTTGAGGAATGCGAGCATTAGCTAATCTTATATCTTTTGCCGAAGATACCGTCAGCACGAAAATTACTTCTTTATCAACATATTCACAGATAATAATAAGACTTTTAAGATAGACAGATCATTTAATGTCAATTAGAATACTATTACATTTTTAGATCAGTCACAATAAACGAATGATACCCATAGTTACGAAATGACGCTTACCTAACCAAATTGAAGGTTCGACTAATCTCTAAAAATGCTTTTGCTTTACTATAATGGCTTCGCTGGCGAATAATATTTCCATGTGACTGATCGCTAATTTTGAAGGCAGAAATAGGTATTAGTATTGTTACACGATTCTCAAAAATCAATTTATGTTCTCTGACCACTCCATACTAAAAGCAAACAGTTTTCTACTCACTGTCGTTGCCTCGTTCTTTCCAGTCTCTTAATAAAGCCAACCAAAATGCCTCCGCAAAAGACCACAGACAAGAAACGTCAGAGTCGCCGAGCTGACCCAGTTGGTGTAGGGATCCCTACCAAACCTCGACAGCGATCCCGGAGACCAATAGAAGCTCAGGGATCTAGTAACGGCGACGTAAATCAAGCGGACTCCCAGACATCATTAGACCCAATTCAACAGGCTAGATTTGACATTAGTAACGAAATAACGTCGCCGGACGATAGTGTAGTAGTTGGTGCTTTGCTCAAACTTAAGAATAATTTACCACTAGTGCACACCATCCCTGCTCTCGATAACAGTTCTGCTCGGCGGAAGAAGCCAAAAAGTACAACTATTGATCCTAGCAATGTACCAAACGGTATACATGCCCATAATTCATACCAGACTATTTTAGATCAACATACAACCCAAACATCGCAACCTTCAGACTCGGAATCAGTGGACATTGAGATCGACCCTTCAATGCGGCGTAACAAAGAATACTACAATTCTGAAGTTAACAGTGATATTAATTTAGACACTTCACATTCTTCACATACTTTTGGGCATATCGAGAATATTAGCACATACGTTACCAATGGTGCGTTAATACCGTCGAGTTATAATATGGGAAGCAACATGTCATATACAAACAGTACGAATACATGGGGTAGCATCAATACATCTGCTCCTCATCGATTACCCTCTCATAATTATAACATGAATATGATGCCATATTCAGATAGAAAGTCGGAAGAAATAGCGAATAAAAACCCTCATTCTACTTTTCATTACCCCCCTCAGACATCTTTACCCATAACTCCATCGGAAATATCCGATGCAGCCAGTTTAAAATCGTACAAAAAAGTAACGAGAGGAACTCCGAAAAAAGTCGATGCGGCTACGCAGACGTATCGGATAAGTCAGTGGATATTTGAAACCGATGATTACAAAAAGACAGACAAGTCGTCAGAGTTAATTTGCAAGGCATCAGCGTTACCTGTAAGACAAGACTCGCTAGACTACTCATCGGAATCTCGAAGCACGGCACAAAAGCGCAAGGCAAAGGATAGCGAATTTGACTTGCGCAGTGAGCATGCAGACTTCTCATCCGAGCATCAGTCAAAACGTGGAAATAAAAGGGCAAAGAACGATAGAGATCCTTTGATGACCCCAGAGGAATGGAATGCTTTTCTACTTTCTACTGGATTGTCAAATTGGCCGTGGGATAGAGAGGATATATTACGTGTTGGTACATACTTGTTTGATGAAATTTTCTCTCATTCATGGGCGGTAGAATTTGTTAGTCCAGTTCCCGCACAATATGCGGTATATCATAATGTCATAAAGAAGCCGATGGATCTGACCACGGCAGAAAAGAAATTGTGGGCTGGAGATTATGTATCGCTTCTTGATCTCTATGCAGATTTGTGCCAAATTTTGTATAACGCGTGGGATTTTCATAGACCGTTTGCAGAAAAGTCAGATATATTCACCCATGCTAAGAAAATGTCTTTATTTCTCGAAGATTTCATAAGGTGGGATGTTAACCAATACATTGATTACTCATATTTGATGTCTACACCGCATCCCGGTAGCGAACAAACAGCCGCAATGAAAGCACATCTGCGAGAAGTCTTAAAATTACCACACGAGAAACTTAATGAGCTGTACATAAAGTGGGGTTTCCCTGATGTCCACATACATGTTGAAAGTCCAATATACATTCTCTCAACTCTAAGTGCTGACGAGAACAAGTCTCCGTCTCGTGGACTATTGAAACATATGCTTCGTCCGGAAGTTAATGCAAGTTGTGGAGGGTTTAATCCTCTGAACAGGATAATGAAGGATACTGTTGCCAGGAGGATTGATGTGTATGGAGACTCTATACGCTCTATTCATGCGGAGGATAGCATACCTTCAAGACGTATAGATCCAACGCAATCAAGTCGTAACTTTATTCGACTTTACATATCTGGCGGTCGCGAATCGCTTCAACGATGTCGTGATGAGTCTGATGCAATCCTTTTGATTTTGTCGGATATTAAATTCAAATATGATATACACGAGATTACTTGTAAAGCGCTAATCGCTAAGCCGTTTGGTGACATACATCAATTGCCGACAATTGAATTTCCAGAACTATTCGATGTTCGGTACTGGATTAAATGTATAATATTGGATCGAATAGACATGACCTTAATCATGTCAAGTGCTTTTCAACATCGCTGTCTGAAGAGTGCTCACAAGGTAACCTTATATGCCAAACATATGGTACAAGAACATCCGGAAAGACATGATGCTTTCATAGATGCACTTCGATTGACGCAACACACAGACAATCTTACAGAATCTCAAGGTGTTATGGGCAGTATTAAATTAGGTACGTTTATAGTACAGATGTGTTGTGGGGATCGAATATGTAAATAGATAGTTTTATTTACGAATCCATCGAATTCCTAATAACAGAAGCGGCAGCTCTAAATGTTCCCTTTGAGAATTTTCAATCAATGGGGGGATCGTTAAAAGTGGAGACTGAAGGATTTTTCAAGAGAGTTTTCCATGTTCATGGTGACGATAGCTATGTTGTCCAAAACTTTAAAGAGATTACCGAACAGACATTTGGAGCCCGTATCGTAGAAACCGTTTGTTGTCTGTAAGTATTACGGTATTTTGTCACAGTTACGTGCAGGACGAAAATTTAAAGAATTCGCTTTCATAGTAAAACTAAAGGTGTAGAAAACACTGGACAGATCAGATCAATCTATACCGGAGCGGAGGATGAGCTTGTTGGGTTGTCAATGAAAAGGTAAGTTGTATACAGGATGAGCGTAATATTTCATTCTGCTCTCTTTCTTTTATTTTTTGATTTTCGTTTATCCATTAATCACATTAACTGATTTTTTTACAACATTATAACTTAGATATCAATATACTCTTAAAGACTACGCATTCAACAGTCGTCGTCATTTAACAGCAGAACAGAAATACAAACTAGTGCTTGATATGGTTAAAGGCGTTCGTGCAATACATAATGCAGGGTTCGCTCATAGAGATTTGAGCGAGGTAAACATAATGGTCACTGAACGAACTGACCAAAAACTGCTCGATGGAAGCAATACACCCGAACTGGTTATTATTGATTTTGGCAAGGCCGAATTCGTAAGACCGGAAGATGTGATGCGTTGGAAAGTTAAAGAAATCTCCTCAGAGACTTTAAATCTTTTACCACTTATTCAGACTGGCCCTGATCATGGATATCTCCTTTATAGGTATGTTTTGAACTATGAAGATATATACGTTATTTGGATATAATGCTTATACTTTATGTTGTATAATTTAAAAATGTAGGTCCATTGCTACGCTTCCTCGAACTAAAAACGATCAAAGAATATTGCCAACTCCTATAGATCCACTGGCTGAGGATATATACTCACTGGGTGTATTAATCTGGCGAACATTCTCTGGCCAAGCCCCTTGGGATGGCATTCTTGACTCTGATTTAAAAAGCCTTCGTGGAATCGTCTCTGACGCGGCACAAATTCGGTTCTATATTGAAAAGTCTATACGCGGTCAGACATCTCGGGAGTTACTTTTGCGATGCATCACCGTTAAACCTCAGACACGCAATACCGCCGAAACGTTATTTAGATGGCTATCACATCTGGACGTTAAGGAGGCTATATTGAAAGAATGGACAGAGCTATGTGGGAGACCTAGAAAGGAGCGGATTATATGACGTGACACGGATCGCGTTGGGTGATATTGAAATTTATTTATCTGACTTTTTCGAGCTGATTGTAATTGCTTTCGGTGAGAAATGTTGTATTTCTACTGCATGGTCACAAGACAGACTTTGAATGAGTTTCCAATAAACTTATTTCCGAGCACCGTTATTATATTCTCGTCACATTCTTCTTCACTTCATCCGAGTAATGTTGTAGATATCTTTCGCTTCAATTGGCTTTAGATTAAACCCGCTCATTCTCTCAACATTTCCTTTTTCAATTTGTTCAAGCCGAGCACTTTTTTCTTTCATATTTTCGTGAAGTTTCGATATCTCACTATCGAGATGTTGTTGATCTGTAATTATAATACACAAAAAATAATAAATAAATAATATAATTATCGTAAAGCGAAAATCAAATCTTACCTTTGTTGACGAGTGTCTGCACTTTGTCCTTCTCCATTCTAATAAACATATCACCTAAATTAACCCAAACTTTACTTTCATTCTTCAAATCTTTTTTCAATTTATTAAGAGCTTCGCGATTACTATTACGTTTCCTATCATAATCGACAATCTATTCAGATATTAGCAAATAGCAATAATCATTGTTCTGTAAAGAAAAGTATTCATCCTACTTACTGCTAACTTATCTGTCAATATCTCATCGGCTATGCGTTCCCGCTCTTCAAGAACTGGAAAAAAAATAATACTCTTTTAGAATATAAGCAGTGATTTAATTTGTAAAACCAATCTACGTTGCTCTCACCTGGCAAGATATCCATGTCAGGATAAACAACTTGATAATCAAAATCAAAATTATGCTTCCTGGTGTGACATCGAATATATATATTACGCACCGCTATCTTTGCTAGTATCTTCTGTAGCTACTCGCTCGTTTATCTCAAAATGACGTATTCTAGTCTCTTCCGTTCGGAAGAGATGTCATTGATACAACTGTACATTCCCTCGGAAATGGCACAACCGACCGTTGCGGAATTGGGAGAGTTGGGTCTGATTCAGTTTAGAGACGTATGTGTTGCATACTCCTTTCTGAACACTTTTGAAAAAAAAATACCTGTATTTGACCTCTTGTGAACGTTCGAACAGCTAAACCCTGACGTCAATGCCTTCCAACGTGCGTTTGTGTCTCAAATCAGACGCTTCGACGAAATGGAGAGACGGCTTCGTGAGTATCTATTGGTATTGGTAGTCAATAAGAGGCTCGTGTTTATGAACTGATATTCTTAGATATGTATACCATTAGGTGCATGTCTCTGCAGACGAGCAAGTTATAGTCTTTAGTAATTATTTGGAAAACTTTATTTGTTATGCGACGACTAAAAGTTTAAGGCTACTACGATTTAATAACGTTCACATTATGCTTGGATATTTGATAACAGGTTTCTTTACTGTCCAAATTGAAAAATTGGAGATTCCAATACGACCGCTTACTGGTGATGCGTCGGCAGTCCGTGCACGCAGCGTGCTAGAAATTGACGAGTTGGAAGAACAGATAAATGTATATGAACGACGCATAACACAACTGAATAACTCTTATGAAAGCATGCAGAAGCGTTATCTAAGACTTACAGAACAAAGACACGTACTCAAAGAGACAGGCGTGTTTTTGGAGCAGGTGACTCGCGAATTTTATCAAAATTGAATTGTAGATATGACCAGAGTATGCAAATATTGACTTTTGAGTTATTTCAGGCTGAATCTCGGCAAGAGGATATCCGTCAGTCGTTCGATGAGCCAACCACACCTTTACTAGGGCATGCTGACTTGGAGCAAGGACCCAGCGGAACTACAGGATTTAACCAACTAAATCTCGGGTGAGCAGCAAGCTCAGTGTAGAAGAAATTTACGCTACTTGATATGTGAATCTTAATTTCAATTTGACCGCTACACAGATTTGTTACTGGAGTTATTCCCCGAAAGAAAATGCAGACATTTGAGCGTGTTTTGTGGCGTGTTCTTCGTGGAAATCTCTACCTCAACTATGCTGAGATCGACGAACCGATTGTCGATCCATCAACGGATGAGGTTGTCGAGAAGAATGTTTTTATCATCTTTGCACACGGAAAAGTACTGCTAGATAAAATAAGAAAGATATCAGAGTCATTGGGTGCCACTCTCTATCCAGTAGACGACAGTCCCGACAGAAGGCGCGCAAGTCTTTTAGATATTACAACGCAAATTGAAGACCTTAGTGCTGTCATTCAAACGACTAACAACGCACGGAGAACGGAGTTGACGAAAATTGCAGAAAACTTAACCGCATGGATGACTATTATCAAAAAAGAGAAGGCGGTTTATCACACCATGAATCTTTTCAACTACGATGTCACTCGCAAATGCTTGATTGCAGAGGGCTGGTGTCCTCGAAATGATCTTCCTAAAATACACGGAGCAATAAGAACGGCAACAGTAAGTCTTTCGGTGGCGAGGAAAATGGAAAATAGTGGAAAGGTCTTGGTGTAAAACGATGGATTCAGTATTTGAATATGTTCACTCATTATTTTGTCTTTTCAATCTTATTAAAAACACATTTGTCACAAAGGAAAATTTTGGATCTAATGTATCAGCTATTCTGAACGAGCTGCGCACGACAAAAGAACCGCCAACCTTCCATCGCGTCAATAAATTTACAAGTGGCTTCCAAGAAATAGTAGATGCATATGGTGTAGCAAAGTATCGCGAAGTTAACCCTGGACTGTTCACCATAATCACCTTCCCATTCTTGTTTGCAGTCATGTTTGGTGATTTTGGTCACGGGTTTTTATTAACACTCGCAGGTTTATACTTGATCCTTAACGAAAAGAAATTTGAGAGGGAAAAGTTGGATGAGGTATTGATGAGCTTTAACATTTTCTTGTGAAACTTTATTGAATCTACTGCAATATGCGAGTCTAAACTAAACACTCTATAACGTCTCCAGATTTTTGAAATGTTTTTTGGTGGCCGCTATATAATACTACTTATGGGCTTGTTTTCGATATATACGGGCCTGATTTATAATGACATTTTCTCACGCGCTGTCCAAATAGCTGATTCAGGATTTGAATGGCAATGGCCGGAAAACTATACAGTTGGACAAGCGGTGGAGGCGGTACAGGTCGGAGTGTATCCATTTGGTGTCGATCCGGTAATGTATTACGAAGTTAGCAATATTGTCACTCTCTTATGAAAGGGTTTACTTGTCTTAAACTAATAAGCTTACTCTTTTTAAGGCGTGGCATGGGGCTGATAATAGTCTGATTTTTATAAATTCGTATAAAATGAAAATGTCGGTGGTATTTGGTGTAATCCAGGTAATTGTATAGATGGGTTTTTTTCCTTCATTTATTACTTGACATTAATTATATTCTTTTCTCATCAGATGAGCTTTGGTATTGCGCTTACAGTATTTAATTACACATACTTCAAGAAGAAACTGAGCATATGGACCGAATTTCTCCCACAGATGCTTTTCATGCAGTCTATTTTTGGTTACCTCGTTTTCACAATTATTTATAAATGGTCTATGAATTGGTCTGAGACAGACTCAGATGGTCAGCTAATTAGGCACAGTCCACCTGGTTTGCTTAACATGTTGATCTACATGTTTTTGCAACCGGGAACAGTAGCACCAGATGACGAACTTTACCCTGGACAGGTAACAAACATTTGGCATTACTCTGACACGCGGGGAACGTTTTATTCTTGTTCTGTGTTTAATTGTTAAAAGCTACATATTAATACAACTATATTTACAGGCAAACGTGCAACTTGGGTTGCTTATTGTTGCATTTATCTGTATTCCGTGGATGCTTCTCGCAAAACCTCTCATTCTACGGCATGAACACCATAAAATACGGGCTATGGGGTACCGACGTCCATTAGAAGACACAAGTATTGCGACGGAGGAAGATATTGACTTTGGGGCTTCGAGTAGTATGCCAGAAGAAATGCATGAAGAGGAGGGATTCGATTTTGGAGAGCATATGATACATCAAGTCATCCACACGATTGAATTTTGTCTGGGTTGCATATCCAATACAGCCAGTTATTTGCGTCTGTGGGCTTTGAGTCTGGCTCATGCTCGTGAGTAATCCACCTTCGAAATACTTTCAAGTACTTTTAAGTAACATATTACGTTGACTCATATATGATTATGCATTTGACAGAATTGTCGGCTGTACTTTGGGATATGACACTCAAAACTGTTCTTGGAATTTCTGGAGTTCTTGGTGCTTTTGCTCTTGTTGTTGCTTTTGCCTTATGGTTCTCTTTGACTATTGGAATTCTTCTAATTATGGAAGGACTGTCTGCTTTCCTGCACGCATTACGTCTGCACTGGTGCGTCATTAAATGTTTTGAGAGTTTTTCCCTTCTCTCTCTCTCTTTTTCTACTGTGATTTTTGCTAACATATGCATAACTTACTTCTTAGGGTTGAATTTAATAATAAGTTCTACGAAGGAACCGGGATAAAGTTTGAGCCATTCTCATTCAAATCTATAGTGAAGGATAAAGACGATTAAACATAAAGGCTATCATAAGAAGCCGCCTTGAAGTATTTATATTGAAAGGGTCATCTCTGTATCAATACCTTAATTGGAAATAGTATTAATTTATCAGAAACAAAGTACTCGTCCAAGATCAACATATGTTTGTAGACTACTAAGTAGTATATTAAAGACTTCACTGTCAACTTATGCAGTTAGGAAAATGATATATGCATGCACACAGATTTCCCCTTTCCACAATCTATGACAGTATAAAAAAAAATGCATTCAAACCTGGTTAAAAATATAAAAGCTTTCGTAAGTCATCCGAGGGAAAGCTTTCAGAGCGTCTTCTGTTGCACGTCTGTAGGTTCTTTGTACTCTTCTTTGACAACACCAAAAGTGTGCTTCTAATGCTTGTCGCTTTTTTCCGTTCCGTTAATGCTCTCAAGAGTAAAAACACGTTTTCAACAAGTTTAATATGGCTGAATTCTACACTTCAGTAATTATATTATGATATGCAATTTTATTTATATATTGTACTTGTTTAGAAGCAAGACGCTTTTCTGAAACTTACAAAATGGGCTCGATTATTAAACGGTCGCGTTAATTATATGAATAAAAGCCAGTTAATTTCTTTATTGACTATGGACGATACCCAGTGAGGAGATGGGATATGCCCGCGGAATGACCATTCGCCGGATTAAAAGATCTATTAAAGGCGATGACATTCTGAATTTTGTTGCGCTTTCGGTTGGACTAGGTTGTAAAACACCTTGAGCAGCTAAGAATCCGGCCATTCTTAGATGTTCGGGATCCACTAGTTGTACATAGTAGTCGAAAGCCCCAAGGAAGTGTGATCGAAGGAAATCCAGAGCATTCTTAAATCTCGAGTCTTTCAAGACATCGACCATTCTCCGGAATGTGCCATATTTAAGGACTTCATCATCCAAAGTTCGTAGAGTGATTTGTTTCCAGTTTTCCAAAGTAACGTTCTTTGAGCCAGGCTCAATCAATGTGTCATAGATCAACCGGCCACAGATAGCAACGAGTCCTGCATGACTGTTGAAATGGATTATAAATAGTTACTCGGTACAAGATTTCGCACTGAAAGCAGTGGTTTACATACCCTTCAGTCAGTACAAAAATGTCATCAACAACACTTGAATCTACAACGAAATCCCATTCAGTTGCAAATTCATTATAGAGATTTTGAATTTGCTGCTTCGTAAGATTTGCGGCTTGGAAGTTCTCAGCGTTGAAGGGTGATAAAAAAACATTTTTCTGGTTCAGAGAAAGAATAGCATAGGTGCCAATTACGACAATGGAACGTATCGCGCTTTTGTTTTGAGTCCTGATGCTGTTAATTGTTGCTAGCATCCATTCACAGTTATGCTCTGCACCTTCGTTGTGGAGTTTATCGAATTCATCTATGAAGAGAACGACCTGACGACCCCTCCATCTGTCATGCCCTCGATCAAAGGTCTCCTCGAAGGAGGTGGCATCCATAATGGGCTTTGGAAGTTTCGCCTCGGGTTCGATTTTACCATTGAAATGTGACCAGAACATTGTGCTGCTGACGTCACATCCCTCAAGAGACACGCTATTCAGGAAATAGATTTCATTATTGCAATTATTACGATGATTAAGAATGTTCTTTGGTCGAGAATCGAACTTGCTTACTAGATACATTCATATCCAAGTTCATGAAGTTGCATGATTGCATCCCATGCACGAGAAGACTTTCCTGATGCTTTAGGCCCATACATTCTCACGATTTGACCCCCAACTATGCTATTAATCAAGCTAGCATTCTGCTCTCTTTGACTTGCATAGTAATACAAGTGCGTCTCGATATAACGACAACTAAGCAATGTTCAAAAAAAATCAATTTTATTGGATAAATTTGATACAATTGACAACTTAAGCATCATTACAAAGATTAAAAAAATCTA